CACATACACACCTTCATTATAAACATATATACACACAGATATACAATAAACATATATACAGCCATAAATAATATACTCAGGCATACTTATACATGTACACACACACACACACATATATATATATATATATATATATATATATATATACACACACACACACACAAAAACATACATAAATCAAAGCATATGATATTCAATAATTACTACAAAATAATTGTATGACTGCAAAATAAAAAAACTATAAGATAATTTAAATCTATTTTTATGGCAAAGCTTTAGCATCTGTCTATATTTTTGAGATGAGGTATTATGTACACTATTTACATTATTCAGACTATTGTCCTCTTCTTTTTCGCCATATTTATCACAACATTTCAGCCGTTGTACGCTCCGGCCTTCTTCAGGTGGTTGGAATGTCGAACTAAACCCTTTATTTCGCTCACTGGGGTAGACTGTTCTAGTTCCATGTGCCATGTTTAATGTGAATGTCAGTTATCTCCTGTTAATTCACCTCTCGAAGTTCTACACTGCCTTAACCAGGTATTGAACTCACTCTTTGGGTCCTGTCACTGGATCTAACCAACATCTTTATCCACTGTGCGATGTGTCCTTGAGGACATCTGTGTATGAATTTCTGGGTGTTATAAACCTAATGTCATCAGCAAATGTTTTTTTACCAGTGCTCATATTGCAATTTTTGCTGTCATCATTCCATGTTTTTACCAGTGCTTATATTGCAATTTTTGTTGTTATTATCACTTTTCTCTGGCACTCGTTATTACTGGTTCCCATATTGTATTCATTTCTATGCTTGGTCGGCTCAGGAGATTTGTGTGGCCTAGCATATGTGCTGATTCCTTAAGTTTAAAAATTTTCCAATGGTGTTCTTTGTCTATGATCTCAACCTGATCCCACAGGGGGCGGTGAGCTCCCTTTTCTCTCCATATGTGGACAGCCATGCCTGATTTTTCCCCTTCCCCTCATGTTACAACTTTCTGGTGTTCTTGAAGCCTTACCTTAAGGGGGTGTCCTGTCTCCCCTTTATATTTCTTTCCACAGCTGCATGGGATAGCATACACACAGTGTTTAGTCATATTCTCCTCTATGTGGGGGTGGGGGTCTTACTCGTGAGAGATATCTGCGAAATGGCGTCCAGCAAAATTTTAATTTAAAAACACCTACTTGGATTATCTTTTCCACTTATACATTTGTGATATATGCTATCAACTTGTACATATAAATAAAGACTTGTATTTACCATTTTGTATGGCTTTATTCAATGATTTGTAATTATACCACTCTATTCTCTCAACATTAAAAAAATATAAATTTCTTAAATTTGTAGAAATGCTTCATTTTTACATTTTATCTTCTAAAATATAGCCTGCCCAGAATCCTGTCTGATTACTAAGTATTTTGACTAGGCTTTTCTTTATGGTGAGATATGTCAAAGAAGGAACCTGCCTGCCCAGTGTCTTGTCTGATTACTAAGTGTTTTCACCGAAGCCTTTTTTCATGAGAAGAAAAGAGGATGAATGAATATTTAATTTTTTTTACCTTCTATAATTGCCTTTCATAATCACCATACAGTTGAATAGTTGTGCAATGCTTTCTGTTCCTTCACACAGCATATTTTCTAATTTGTAAACTTTTTTTCAGAGCTTAAAACTTTACAGAAAGCTTGAATAATGTCAGATGACTGATTTAATATTTTTAATTACATTTTGCTAACTCTCTATATCATTGTTTACATCTCATCATACAATGATTTAGTGAAATGCTCAGGAATTCCATAGTCTTGTTTTATGCATGTCTTCATCACAATTTAGGTATGTTGGCTTTTGTAATTTTGAGTTCTTTATTGTCCAGCCTATTGATTTAAAATTATAGATACTTAAGAAGAACCAAGAAAATGTCTTACATTTAATATTCAGAGAAAAATCCTATTTATTTTCTGACTTTGTTGTTTAGACTAAAACCCTAAATTGCTTGCAGTGTGTTGTCTCTCTAAGGTGCCATTTATGTGGTCTTACTACCCAGACCAGCATGCTCATCTTGGTCGTTATACTCATAGCAGGATGTGTGGGTGGTGTAATGTATACTGTCTTGAAATAATAAGGAATTGAAGAGTTCAAATTCAAGTTGGTCTCATTACTTACTTACACACAAATACCTTTGGAAAAGGTATGGATCCACCTTGTATCCCTCCATCTGTGAGTTAAATAATAAGGCATGTATCTGAAAATAATTGTCATCTACAAAATATTATTAATAGAATAGTCACTTGAAAAAAAAATTGTTCTTGCAATCAAAGAGTGTTTCAGCTTTGATAAACTGTAAAAAAAAAAAAAAAAAAAAAATCAATCAAAAATGTGCTGAAAGAGTAGAAAGACTACATCTTTGGCTTCTTTACAGAAGAATTTTTATCAGCTGACTTTTGATTGGTTTTGATTTTTGGTAAAAGTCATTTGCAGAGCTAGAAATGATAATTGCTATAGGAACACAAGCACTGAAGTTGTATTTGGTCACTTAAACCCTGGAATTAGTTTTGGCAAATTGTGAGAAAGGTAAGAATCCCTCTCCTCCCCCACCTATAAGTTAAATAGTAGTACTTATATCTAGAAAAGTCATTGTTATTCTCAAAAGAATTCTTAGTGGAACATTCACTCGCAAAAAAAAAGAATTCTTACAATCCAAAATATGTTTTGGCTTTAAATAACCCATGATTACAAATTTATCAATTAATATTCTCACAGTATATTGGCCATTCTACCATCCAGCCCTTTTCTGTCATCATACTCTGTAACCTTTCACCATTTTGAGCCAAATTCCTTATTCAATTTGAGGGTAGATTATCTCCTTTTCCTTTCAATGCTAAGAGGAGATAACTTGTATCAGTCCAACGACCTGATGATTAAAGTGTTGTTTAAAACGTATCTGGTTCTCTGACTGTTACAAGTTTAACCCCTGCTTCTGATAGTGCCGAAAAGTTGCATACTCTGGTTCCGTGGAAGAAATGGGCAATCATAAAGGTGAATAAGACTGGTGAGTATTAACTGATATGAGTTATCTCCCCTAAGCATGGTTCCATGGCAGTTGTGAGTTCAATCTCTAAGTTGGGGAATACTGAAAAGTCACATGGTAGAGTGAAGGAAATAAACAAAACAAAGGGGAATAACCCTGGTGAGTATTAACTGATACAAGATATTTAAGCATTTAAATTGGAATGAGAACAATCAACCCACCTTGGGCTGAATAACAGGTTTGGTTCAAGATTCCAAGAAGCTTACCAAGTCCAACAGGCACTCTCAAGGAGGCAAGAGGAGGGTAGTAGCTAAAACATTGTGTGTATAACAACCAAGGTGTGCATGCTGGTCTGAATAAATAGTAAAGTGTACAATGATAATAATTCCTCATCTCAAAGATTCCAGTATAAGTTCTTGCCAGATGACAAATGTTTTATAATCATCAGTGCACAATAAAACTGACATCATAAAATATCTGTCCGCATCTTATATTTCAGGAATTTGTTTAACCTTTTTATTGTCCCAGTCACATAATTTCTCCTGATTTATTTGGATGTGTGTCTTCATCTTGATTGTTTTTATCATTGCTTGTTCAAACAAATCACTGTAGAATAAGTACTTGATGTTTAAATTTGAATATTAATTTGATCTACCTTTTGGCCATTTAATTATAATCAGGATGACCCTCCCTTCTTTCTGTTCTTCAACATCCTGATGTTTTCCTTTCTAAGGATTAATACAATTTTTCTGAAACCTTGTGGAATTTGCTTGATTTGATCAAACCTTGGTTTGATATTAATACAACTATCTCCAAGAAAACAAGAAAAATCCCACATATTCATTTTTATATTGTATTTTATTTATATATATATATATATATATATATATATATATAGTGCTGTTAATAAAACAGTGCTCAATGTAATATAACAGCTATTAAGTATATATTAATATTATCCCTTACAACTAGCACAACTCAGTTTCATGCATGACACAATCTTCAGGTGCTGAGTATGAACTGCATGAAACTCACTTGTGCTAGTGTTGGATTATATATATATATATATATATATATATATATATATATGGATATATATATAAAAAGTGGATATTGATGTAAATGCCAGAATTGACAGTCTGTTTCATGCAAAACACAATCATGAGACCATGTCGCTTGTGTTTAGCATGAAAAAGACTTGACTTCAATGTCCACTTTTATATTTACACACACTCTATCCCTGATGTTGAGTACTTTAACCCATATAAATATAAAACTCTATATCTTAAAATATATGTTGTTATATATATATATATATATATATATATAAATATAGTATTCTCTAGGTTTATAAATTTCCACTGTGTTGGTCAAAGAAATTCTTGTTTCTGCCTGAATTTCTGGGATGAGGAGCTATTTACATTTGGACTGATGTTCTCATTTTTGTTATTGTTTTACAACATTTCAGTTGTTATGCCCACCAGCCTTCTTCAGGTGTCTGTTATTCCAGGTAACCTTCAGGAAATTTTGAACTGAACATTTTATTTAATATACAGGTGTAGATTATTCTCATTCTGCTGTCCATGTCTAGGGATGTCTTGTTCGGTTTTTTTGTTTTTTTTAATTACTGCTCAGTTATTGCTCACTCTTTTCTCGCTATGGATTGAACTCACAATTACTATGCAACCAAAAAGAATAAGGCAAGATAACCCTCAACATAGTGAAATGTGAACAATCTACTTCTATAGACAAAATAAAGGATTAAGTTTGAAATTCTCTGAAGGTTGCCAGATTGAGACACCCCTGAAGAAGGGCAAAATATGATAATAACAACAACAAAGAGGATATCAGTCCAAATGTAAATAAGTTGTGTTTTGAATCATAACATTTGTGTTTTCATCAATCCTGCACTCTGTCTGTCTGTCTGAGCACTTTTCGCCTCATTTTATGAAGATTGCACTATTGCCATGTTTCAGGACTTAGATTTGGAGGCTGAGGATTCCTCTTCAAAGCTTGTTGAAATGATGGACAGTCTCAAGAGTTCAGTCAAAATGTTGGATGTTCCTAACAGCTCAGGCATCATGACACGCCAAGATATCTTAGCATCAGCAGGAGTTGCTCCTCTCCAAACAGTTGCACCACCTTCCTCACCTGTCCCTGAACCCTCTACTGATGTCATTCAACCTGTTGAGGACTTAGAATGGAGCCCTGATGAAGAAGAAAACTTAAAAAATGATGTTTGGGAGGTGGAGCGTTCAGAAATAAAGAAAGCTGAGGAGGCACGTGAGGAGGTGACAAAAAATGTTGACAATGTGTCCAAAATTAATCTTTCTGCTGTTGCTGAGGATCTTGTGCAGGAAACTGATGATGAGCTTGTGGGGACACAGGTGAGAATTTTTTTCCCCCACACCCAGCCAGTCTAAAAATGGTTGCTGCCATGATGTTATAATCAACACTTGTTTGTACTAATATGCTGAAAAATTACTATTATTATTATTATTATTATCGCTGCTTCAGCTTAATGCACACACATCACCATCTTTTTGGCTGCTACTGTTTTGTTTGGAAGGGGAGGTTATTTAGGGGCTGCTTTTTTGTTATTTTATTTAGCTCTTTGTTTTTATTTTTTATTTTTAATGGAGGAAACTTAATTTCTTTTTAGCCTCCTTCTCTCAGCACGACTCTCTCTCCGTGCCCGTTGCCTCCCCCCCTACTCCGTGCCCGCCTCCCCCCTCCCCCCCCCTCTACTCCCTGTGCCCCCCTCTGTGCCCCCCCCTTCTCCGTGCCCGTCGCCTTTCTACCCCTCCCCCTTCTCCGTGCCCGTCACCTTTCTCCCCACCCTTCTCCCCCTTCTCCGTGCCCGTCGCCTTACCCCCAATCTCCGTGCACATGGCCTTCCCCCCCTTCTCCTTGCCCATCTCCCCTCGCCCCATCACCTCTCTCTGTCAAAATATTTTTTGTTTTCTCTAATTTTAATTTCTTTTTCTATCTTAATGTTTGGCGAATGAAATATTATATTTGGTTTTTGTTTTATTTCAGTATTGCTTTCTTCTTGCCTCTAAAACATCACTCAATAATTTTAATGCTTTTTCTCTTCATGTCTTCCATGTGACATTCAGGAATTTCCATTTTCTTCATTTTACCAATTCGTCTTCATGATTTTTCTTTCTGAATTTATTAGTCCAACCAATTCATTGATTTTTCTATGCAATTCCTCACTTTCAACTGCAATTAAAATTTAGCAGTTGATGAAGTCAAATGTTATAGTTTGCTGCCAATGGAAACTGGAAGGTTTTTTTAATTCTTTAAAGTCTTGACTAATCACAAATAATGACCAGTTCAAAATTCAGGTTGATTCTATTTGAGCTGTGTTTTATGCTACCAACTTGGTTCCTTTTTATTTTCAATACATTTGTCATTCAAAAATGGAAATGCCTGACTTTACCATGCATTAGTGTTCATATATGTGTATCAGTCGCTAGCCCACAGCAATCAAATTAGTTCCACTTGAAATGATATCTTCTGTATCAATCGAATATTAACAAAAAACTTAACTGAACTCATTCATTTTGTTGATCTCACAATGTCTTGGAAGAATTATTCTATGGCTTTCTTCAAATGTGCAATCAATATGGAAGATTTCAAAGAGATAGGATTGCTGGAAGAATTGTCGAGACAATTGAATTTAATTTTGTTGTTGCCACAGTGTTTTATCTTCCTCAGGTGTACACTTATTGCAGGAAGAGGAAGGTCTCCAGTTGTTTTCTACTGAGATGTGTGGGTGGTGTAATGGATAGCAACTCAGAATGGGAATTCAGGGCCGATTTCAAATTCCACTTGGGTTCATTACATTCACTCATGTGCAAATATTATTGGGAAAGGTCTAAAAAAAATTTACCTTCAACTATGGGTTAAATAGTAGTATTTGTATCTGGAAAAATGATTGTTATTCCTCACAAATTGTTTATGCAATATTCATTTAGAATTCAAAATATATTTTGGCTTTAAATAACTCACAAAATGTTAATATTAATTTCTATTCTTAATCCTTCATTACAAATGGTGATTTTTCTAAGCATAGCTTAGATCTGTCACAAGGCCGAAAATATGTGGCACCCAGTGAGGATCATATTCACTCTCCAGTCGTAATTAACCTTGCTAACCATTACACCACGTCAAAGTGCCTTTGCTCTACTACAAAAGTCTGCAAAATATTTCATTAAATTGTCTAAATTTCTTCAATGGGGAATTTTCATTTTAGACTAGTAAGAACACGCCAAACATTTTCATATCTGTTGATCATTGAAAATGTACATTTGTCCTTCTGTTAAAGAAAGAAGACAAACAAATATTCCTAAAATAACTTTTGTCTCTCTGCCTAATTAAGGCTTACCATAGATCACCGAAGTTAAGCAATGTTGAGCCTGGTCAATACCTAGATGGGTGACTGCTTGTGGATATCAGGTTCTTTAAGCATATATGTTCAGGTGGTGTAATAGATAATGGTTCAGGATTGGGAATCGGAGAGCTGAGTTCCAATTCCTGTTAGGTTTTTTATATTCACTTACACACAAACATCATTGGGAATTGGTATGAATCCACTTCTTGTCTTCCTCCCTAAATACGAATTAGGACTTGTTTCAGTGAATCATTATTGTCTCTAAAATGTTCTTACAATCCAAATATATTTTCTAGCTTTAAATAAACTGCAAAGGTTGATAAGCCATAAAAAAAACAAAAACAAATCAACCTGATAACGATGATAAAATGATAGCTATGCAAATTTAGAGTATCAGCCATTTATGCTGACTTCCATTTGATGGTCGTGTTTTTGCATTTGATACATACCCAATATTATTTCTTCTTCAATCGTCTTGAACGAAACATTAATGCATAGGTTTTTTATTGTTCTTTGACATTGCATGCAGCATGCCTATTTTGATAAATGCAGATATTTATGTACTTACAAATTTAAAACATAAAGGATAAAAAAAAAAAAGTAACTTAAAAAAAACATACTTGCAAATATCTCTCTCTCTCTCGCTCTCTCTCTCTCTATATATATATATATATATATATATTAATATATATATATATATATATATATATATATATATATATATATATATATATATATATATAATTGTATACTGAATGAATTCCAATAACCAACAATTACTATTCTTAAAAGAGTGCTCAATACAAATTCTTTTTTAATATTACCCGTATTTTAAAGATCTGAATAGCTATTATAACATGATTTCACTGTCAAGCTTTTGAATCTTCCTATACTTGGGTTTTGATTGGTCATTCTAGCTTTTGTAACAACGTTTTCCCTTTGCGAAGGATCATTAATTAATTTGAAACTTTTAAAACCATTTATTTTACATTCAACATCACTTGATAAGACACCGAGGGTGTTGAAACAAAATGGCTATTTTTGTAGTGATTTTATAACATATTTGTTATAAATGTTTTTTTTTTTTAAAATTATATATATATATATATATATATATATATATACACACACACGTTCAGAGTACAACTTAAAGTTTATACCTTATATTAAATTAAGTAAATATTTATTCGCTTATCAGTGTATGCATGCTAACGCACATGTATACAGTTGCTAATATCTAATTATTTAGTTTATATCCACACAAAATATATATATATATATAAAAAGTGTGTTTCATTAAGACGGATTATATATAAAGGGTGTTTCATTAAAACAGATCAAAGTCAGCAATAAATAAATCAGTGTTATTAGTGAAAATTTATTTATTTCTCTATTGGATCTTGTCATTTAAGTCATGACAATTATGTGTGAAAAATAATATCACCCAAATGTCTGCCAAATCTGAAATCTAAAATAGCCATATATTGACCAATCGAAACCAAATTAAAAAATATTGTTTACCATGAAGTCCTATAAAATTCGATTGAAGAAATTATTAAATCGCAAAGTAGATCAATGCTGGTGACTGGATCACCATTTCATACTTTGTTGCTAGCAAATATATAAAGAAAATTCTAATAAAAAAAAAAAAAAAAAAAAAAAAATAATGATGATGATCTCTACAACTGCAGGAGTCTCCCAAATTATAGCTAAATATCCTTTTAGTCAATCATTCCATAATTGGAATGGCTTTAAGCAGAAGTGTTATATGAATTGACAAATTACTATGAATAAATCTATATTAGTCTCTGTTGCATCCTATAAAATAGCCATACATTGACCAATCAAAACAAAATTTTTGGGTAAAGTGCAAACATGTGTACAAAGTACATTTGTTTTTACTAGGGTGTGTAGCTTAGTACAATAAATTTTCATTAACGGTTTTGGAAAAATTAAGTTTTATTTTTTAACATACAAAATACTCCCACTATTTTAAAAACAATTTAATGATTAAAATAACAAATACTTATTTAATAAAAATGCAATATTGTTTTGTTTTGGTTGTTTTTGTGTATATCTTTAAGTTTTTATATTTCATTGATTGGTTTGCAAAATTGAACTTCAAGTTTGTAAATCTCGACAAAAAAATGTTAGCAATAGCTTCAACAATACTAAATACTGTGAGGATTTCAGCACAATGTCAGTGAGTTACCAAATTATTCTAGCAATGGATATTTAACAAAAGAATTTTTTTTTTTTCACTATTTTGTTGTCTGTCTCTATCATCCTTGGAACATAGCAAACAAGGCAATATTTTGTTTTTTTAAAAATGCAAGATGGTTTCCCATGATTTGAAATTGAGATAGAAGTCAATGTCTTGAAATTGTTTATTTCTGATTTTGTCCTGTTTGAGCAAATAGTCGAACCAGAATGTTGTGATAAAAAGCAGCAATAATAAGCTTGTATAAAACTAGTAATAACAATAATAATTCACAAGTGGGTGCAGTGGGGCAGAATCATAGCCAAGTGTCCCCTCTCCACCGTTCTTTAAAGCGAAAGATAAAGCAGCCAATGCAAACTTGGGAGTTGGGGAAATTTTTCAATCAGAGTCCATCTGAGTAGACTGAGTATTTGTAACTGGGGCCACCACCTGCTCCCATATTAAACCCCTATGGCTGTGATGCATGTGCCTGGCATATCCTTATCAGACTGGGTGACATGATGAGTGTATTGAGTTTCAGATATTTGTACTCCAGCATCAATTTGTTGGCGTGCTGTTCTCTTATTCAATCGTTGTTGGCATCCTTCCATCTTGAGAGACTATGGAGTAGCATGGTGCGCTACAAGAGCCTGGGTGGGATATATGGAGAACTAGGGCTGCCCAGACGTCTAGTTCCCCTTCTTGGCCTTGCCAGCAGAGTCCAAAGGAGAGGATAAACCAATACAGTTTGATACCAGTGCGGCTGCAGGAGTTGCCAGAAGGTAGCACAAAGTGCCATTCATCCGCCTTAGGGGCTCCACTCCGGGTTTGAATTCAGAGTTGCCATTCAAGGCTATAGAACCCAGTCTGTCCTGCTATTTACCCATAGCTGGAGGGAGAAAAAGAGGATTCACACCTTTCCCAAGGGTATTAGCACGTAAGTGAATGTAATGGATTCGACTGGAATTCGAACTCGGCTCTCCGATTCCTTAATCCAAGCTGCTATTCATTGCTCCACCGTGCCTCCTCAATTCAATAATAATAGTAATAATAATAAAATATTGTTCAGACTCTATTCTGAATCAGATATGAAAATAGCATTAAAATATGAAAAAATAAAGGCAGGTGTTAACAAGTACAAGTATTTGGAGGCGGGGGTTGTTTTTTTCAATATGAGGCTGAGTAAAGAATCAATATGTCTGTATCTGATGTCAAAATGTTTTTTTCTCTTTCTTTAAATCTTTTTTCCTCCTCAAAAAAAAAAACTGAGTCTGCATTCCCCCCCCCCCCATAAAATTCATTAAATCCAGATGATTAATATAGAAACTTGAAATAAATCAATCCATCTGAATGAGTCCTGCTTTAACCAACAAATATTAAACTATAACAAAACTTTATACTCAACAGACACTTGATTTTCATACACTGATTTGTTAAAAGAATGCTTGAAATGGCCACTTTTAATATTGTTCTTATTTGGCAACTTTTTTTTTTTTTCCCTCTCCAATGTGTGTTGTGGCAGTATTATAAGCATGTTGTGATAAAGCTGCAGTCGTGCGTTTTTTGATGAAATCAATTTGCTTGCTTACATTTATTTATACATATAACGGATTGGGTGCGCATGTGACAAAATCCATTGCTATGTCATTGATGTGTTTATGTGTGAAGAGACGGAATTTTTCTATACTCTGATTTTAAAAAATAAATGTATAATTCACAAAACAGTGCAAATAAACTATGCATATAATATTGTGTCAATAACATGTATACCAATTCCTGATAATCTCTTTATTTTTCTGGTATCATTTCCACAGTAAAGATGTGACTACACTGAGGTTAATTGATCTGTCCATAAAAAAATATAGAAATTCTTGCTAGGTCTACTGCTAAGAAAGTTAGTCCACAATGCCATGCTAGACAATTTTACCCCACCTCCCACCCCCGAATCTATCTTAGTTATTTATAAGTCTGCCATTCATCCTTGCTTTGAATATTGCTGCCATATATGGTCTGGTGCTCCTGCTGTGTTTTTAAAGATTCTTGATGAAATCCAAAGAAGAATCTGCATTATTATTGGTCCTGACCTGGTATCTTGGCTTCAATCACTATCCCACTGTTGTACTGTAGTTTCCCTGTACTTTAAATACTTTCATGGGAATTGTTCTGATGAACTCTTTGCTATGGTATCTAGACTTTATGAATTTAAGCACAGTACTAGATTGGTAGATTTTCTCTCCTCTCTTTTTTCCTCCTCTCTCTCTCTCTTTTTTCCTCCTCCTCCTGTCCCCCCCTTTTTTTCTACCATCTTCCCTCTCCTTTTTCCTCATCCTCCTCTCCCTCTTTTCCTCACCCTCTTCCCTCACCTCCTCATCCTTTTGCCTCATCCTCCTCTCCCTCTTTTCTCATCCTCCCTCCCTTTTTCCTCCTCTCCCTCTTTTTCCTCATCCTCCTCTCCCTCTTTTTCCTCATTCTCCTCTCCCTCTTTTTCCTCATCCTCCTCTCCCTCTTTTTCCTCATCCTCCTCTCCCTCTTTTCCTCATCCTTCTCCCTCTTTTCCTCATCCTCCCCTCTCTTTTTCCTCTCCCTCTCTTTTCCCTCATCCTCCTCTCCCTCTTTTTCCTCATCCTCCTCTCCCTCTTTTTTCTTTCTCCTCTCCCTCTCCGGATGTACATATATGTCTTTACAAAACTTTTCTTGCCTGTTATCAACATATATATACATTTTCAAGACCCTGTGAAATGTCATCCCTAACGTTTGTCTTATAAACTAACTGGTGATTAGTGCTATTTACAGACAAATATGGACATATCATAGGATATAATACATGTTTTGTGACATATTTCTATTGTGCTTTGTGGTTGTTGTTTAGCTTAGTTTGTACCGTAGAGTATCCAATCAAATCCAAAACACTGACACCATCAGTCATTTATTTTTCCAGTAAATAACAATTTCTTATTTTTCCCAAAATAGGCCAGCACAGCCAGGCAACAATGCTATAACAACATGGCAGGGAAAAGTGTTAAATGATCAACTTTTTTGAGTCCATATTATGTTCACAGACATGTTCTTTCTTTTTTTCTTTTTTTTTGAGTATCTTCTTAGCATATGTCTCTTATATTTGCTTTTGCTGTGTCACTGTAATGTAATCGTTATGTTTAGTGAAAGTTTTTTTGATCAATTTGTCAAATAAATTCTGTCTGTATTACAAAGGCAACAAATTGCCACAATTTCATATCTGGATACCCCCCCCCCTATTTTAAATTTAATGGATTGGTTCCAAAATGGCTGTTGTTAATTTCATTATTCAGCTGATGATTAGTTCACAGAACTTGCATCATCCCTGATTTCTTTGCTACCCCACTACCTCATTACACTCTTTTCCACATATCTATCATTGACCTTTTGAACTCTTTTACTACTCTTGTAATCTTTCAGCCATTGTCCTACGATTACTTCAATCATCAAGTGGGCGGGGGTAGTAAAACAAACTTTTTTTTTTTTTCCTCTTTCCCTCATCATCTTTTCGGTGGGCTTTCAGATAGCTTGGCAATGCCCATCTCCCCTTCAAGTTCTTGACCAATGTGGTTCATATACTAAGCCTTCAGGTTTTGAATTCAGACTTGTCCTTCTCCTAGATTGGTTGCCACCCAAGGCTATATAGGACCTAGTCTGTCCTGTTATTTATCTATAACTGGATGGAGAATAGATGCATTCAAGAGTTTTTAGCACATAAGTGAACTCAAAGGGAATCCAACTTTGACTCTGATACTTCAATGCGAGCTGCTATCCATTACTCCACTGTGCTTCCGATTTTGGGATACTGATTCCTGATCAGTTTTGATTTCAGCTGTTATTTGAATCTCTTGTCTGAATCTCTTGTCAAGATGACTTTTGAGTTTTCAATATTTTAGTGATCTCACTTCTATTGTTTTAATGTTTCCTTTCAAATATTCTTCAATCGTCACAAGGTGACCAGTTGCAAATTATTTATGTCTGATGAACAAGTTCTATAAGGTAGCATTTTGCTATTCCAACCAAGTTCATAATGTTATATGCCACATGCTGTTGCCAAAAGCAACAAAGCATTCATTGCATAATGATCCTGGGGTGACTTATCTAGGCAAATGATACCACTGTTTATGGACACACTTCAAAATCTTTGCAGCCAATCTCTCCTCTGGTCTCACTCTAAGAGTTCGTTGTGGGAGGGGGGGAGAACTGGCTTGTAATTTTTCGATTCCTCAAAAAACACAAGCTAGTATCATTTTCTCATCACCAATCAGATCCTGGCTTTAATCCAGTCACAATGAATGATTCTACTCTCAAAGAGGCTCTTTGCTTTGAACATCTCTTGGGTCTCAAATTCATTCCAGACCTCAAGTTGAATTCTTATATCTATTGCCAAAGATACCAGAAAAAATAGTTGGCTGATTCTATTGCCCTAGAAAGTATCTGACTCCTTCTGCCATGCTCTATCTTTACAATATTGAGACTAGACCAAACAATAAAATATTGTTGACATGGCAGTAATACTCTGAACTGGAGCTGCACATTTTCCAGGCTTTGCAAAGTTCAAAATTGTTTATGTGGTCTTGTGGGAAAAGACACATTTTCCACCTTGCGACCTCTTCTTCCCCATAGACAAAACGTTAAAAACCTGTCGTTACTCTATTGCTATTTCCCTGGCAAATATTCAGATAAACTCCATTCTATAGTTCTACTAGTTCAGGTCTTTACATGCCATGCCACTTCCACAGAATAAAATCATCCTCATCTCCTCTGTGTTCCAAATATAAGAAGAATAGCCACTCAGCTTTTTCTCACTGACTCCCACATAGTTGCTTCCTTGAACAATCTTGACCTCTTCATGTCAAAGGTCAATCATCAACTGTCCTCCTTATCCTCATAATTTTAATTTAATTCCTTTCTCTTCACTTTATTTAGCATAGCACATTCAACATTACCATTTTGTTGATTGTAAAGCTCTGTCTTGAGTGCCTATCAAGTCTTGTATTGGATACTTTAATTAAAAAAAAAAAAAGTCCTACTAATTTTTAAAGTTTCTTATAATGGCTAGACTAAGGACTTTTGTAGATGTACCATATTCACAGAACAGGCAGTTGTAAAAAAAAAAAAAAATTCTAGGGAGAGTTGTGATAGGATTAGAAAAAAAAAATATATACAAATGGATGTTCTATGGAAGATGGCATCTCTTACTATATGGATGTAGAATGGAGAAAAAGGGATCAAAGAATAAGACTTCTTTATTTTTAACTGTCAGGGTTAAGTTTTAAAATTTCTGGCATCCAATCTGTCCAGACCTACAGATCAGCCGATCTCATTCAATTTCCCAACACTTGTTTTTATTGCTGTGGTTTTCAACTATTCAACAATGTAACAACAGAAAACCTGTTAAGAAATGTTGTAAGAACACGGATACAAATTTACCATGTATGACTCTGAAATCAGTGCACTTTCTATATGTTTTTGCAATAGTAAATGACTTTCACCTACATTAAAGCAGCATTTCTTAAACCAAAATTTAAATGTGTTACATAATTTTTTCATTTTGTCATTCAATTACCCAACATTGTTCTGATATCTAAAAATTTATAAATCATATTCTCCTGTGAAAAAGAATACAAAACACATACGTCTGAATATTATTTGGACAGTACACTCACCAAATATAAAGTCGATGGTGATTTTTCTAAGCGTAGCTGAAATGTGGCACAAGGACAAAAGTATGGAGCATCAGTGAGAATCGAACTCACTTTTTAGTAATTGATATAGTGAGATAAGCTTGCTAACCATTACATGTCAAAATACACAAATTTCAAATTGATGTTTTCACCAGAATATTTGCAATTTTTATCAAACCCAGAATGTTCTTTTTCCCTTTTTTTTTCTCTTGTCCCTCCACTTGCTGCTGTAATGAAATTGCTTTCTTCCCACCACTTCCCAGTGCATAAAATTTTCCACATCTGACATAACCTGTATCGAAAGATACATGATCGCCTAAGCGTGTATCACGCAAGGCATATAAATGATTATATTTCTTAAAATTGTACCAATCAACCATTATACCATGTTTTTAACATTGGCTCTTTCCTATTTTAAAAAAAATGCCCTGTCTGTGAGGCTTAGAATATGCCAACTGCATCTTTTGCAGAGGGGTAATACCATCCCACCCAAAAGGGATCACCTTCAAGGTGCATACATGCAAACTGGTCTATGTTCAATTATTTTGACTCTAGTGTAAACCAGACCTATATTTGCCTATCTATCAATTTTTGTGATATTTTTGTCATAAAAAAATCTTCCTTACAACTTTAACCTTTAGCCTGTAGGTGACTATTTTCACCAAGCAAAATGTTACTCCTGCCAATGTTAAATTTGAATTTCTTGTTTGTGTAGCTATATCCTTCTATGGCAATATCTAAAACAATCTTAACTGAAATTGAGAGCCAGGCTACTACAATTTCAAATATATAGAACTGATATATTAAACATGATATTTTGATGGGATTCCATATACAGTAAAAGGAGAAGTAATATTTATAAATGGTGATAAATGTTAAATAACCTAACAAAGGTTGATACATTAAACTATTAAAATAAAATTTATGGTAATGAAAATAGAAATCCCTAGACTCATTTATCAATTCTGTTCAAAATTGGCTCCTGTTGGTTATTTTTTCTAGTTCGTTACAAATTCTTTTTTTTTTTTTAAGTTCTTCATACCAATGTCATTGCTCACAAAGCATTGATTTTTTTTTTTTGTTTTGTTTCTCTATATATGGTTAATTCTCACCTGAGAATATGTTACTTAATTGTCAGGATTCATAGCAAGTTGATTGTAGAACCAGATGAAGCAATGACTTGTAATTGGGACGAGGTTGGTTCTACACTGCCCTTCAAAAAGATATGCCATTTGTTTGCCATATTTGACTTAAGAACTTATAAGGGCTTGTTATGCTTTCAAATCACAACCTTTTTTTTTCTAAACTTTATGAATACAATAACACAAACTTCTTGGGTAAACTTGTTGAGGAGTATTATTTATTAAACTAACACCTCTTGGAAGTCTGTCCATGCCTTTGACAGCATAAAAGTTGGAGAAAATTGTTTACATATGATGAAATTTCTGTTTTGTTCTTAGATTTTAAATCTCCCTCTCTTCATCCTAGATTTATTTGGACTGTAACTTTTTTGTGTTAAATCTTCCATTCTGTTTTATGCTTTGCGGTGCTTTGTTTTGATGCTGAATTATAAATTTCTGACCCTATAGTGTGCTATTGCTCGGTCAGAGATTGTAAGCACAGGGTTTTGTTGATCCCAGATTATACTCTTTGTCCAATACTCAATATTATTCCTCATGGGAAGAATGTCCAGTCATAAGTCGGGTCTTTCTAGCTATTTGCAAGTAAATATTTGTCATATTTTACAAGTCATTTTAAATATTAGTCTCTTTGCTTTTTTTTTTTTTTTTTTTTTTTTTTTTTTTTGCATGTAATGAAAGTCACATAACTACAGTCACAAAAAAATAAAATAAAATGTCCTATTTGAAGCTAAGGGACAAGTAGCAAGTACCCTCATCAAACCATATAATAATTATCAATGTCTATTTGTTTATACCAGTTTTAACCTGTAAAAATTTCATGATTTTCCTATTTGAAATCTCTGATGAATTTTAATTCTTCAGTTAATGATTAAGTTCATGGCAAGTTCTATGACAATAAAATATCCCTAGAAATTCTCCTATTGCATCATTAAATATTTGAGCTTAACAACTTTAATGAAATATTGCAATAACAATTATAAATATGAATGTTGTTTTTTTAATAAGAGGGTACAAATGAAAAGGTTTGAAATTGACAGCTTTTCCATTTAACTGAAAGCAATGTTAAACACTTCTATCTTTCCTTTCTTTGATTTTCTCACAGAAAGCAAGTAGCATATTTGATGTCTCTTGTCTTCTCATGAGATCAAAATGGAATAGTGCCTTACTTATAAGGTATTAGCAGGAGACATTAAACACTTTTTTATTTCACTGAAACCAAGTAGTGTCTCTGATAAGTCTTTTATCTTTCATCACAATCAAAACGGAATAGACCATTATTTATGAGGTACTGGCAGAGTGTAATGGTCATGTGAACTAACACAGGGAAGGACAAGCATGATTATAAATAGGATATTTCCTTTCCTATCTGTAGTGGGAAGGGAGGTAAAGCAACTTAAGTTAGTAAATTTGAGTGATTACTTCTCTTGGTCATTTTAATAATACAAATAAAATATTGGCATTTAGACAAAATTAGTTCCTGAGCAAAAGGAACCATTTACTTAATCAGTTCCTTTAATCCTATGTTAGATTGCAGTCTTATTTGTTCAAGCCTTTCATGTGAGGCACTCAGATACCTTTTATCTATTAAGTGATCATCTTGCTTCAACTTGGTCTTGAAATAGGCTTTGTTGTCTCAGTCTTTGTTGTTCTCTTACTAATCTTTTTCTTCTGCAAGATATTTCCATTTCACTGTTAAACATAAAATTTTTAACATGAAAAGCTACTGAGCAAAAAAAACAACCAGGCATAATCAATGAATCATAGATACCATTGAACATCTAAAATAATGGAAACGGATTGATTAAACGTTTCATTGACCTCTATTTTGTGAATTCTTTATTTTTTTTATGCTTTATTACATGGTTTCAAGACTTGTTTTATTGCATCTCACAATTAAAATTTTCTAACAATTTTTGACAGCATGGACACACTAATATCTTTGAATTGTAGCTTCTCTTGGGTTGGGGTGGCAACAAAAATCTATTTACAACTACATGACCTTAATACTGATATTCCTGAAATTCAATCACTCTGTGGTGTTGATATTTACAAAGTTTAGCTTAGTTTTGGCACAAGGCCAAGAGGAGGAGCACCCAGTGTTGATCGAACTCCTATAGTAGTAATGACATGAGAAAAATCAACTCAATAATACCTCATGGTGAGGTGCTCAAGTAATTGTTTACTAAGTTCGTTGCTCTTTGATACACATTAACAGATGTGATCCCCAATGAGGATTGAACTTCTTACACAAGCAAATTGGTCTGCAATATTAACTTGCTAACTAATCAGCACATCATGGAAGACACTCAGTAAAAATGTAGATGGGAAATATAGAATAATTTTAATGATGACGCAAGCATAGCTTAGTTGAGCACAAGGCCACCATTTTAGAGCACCCACTAAAAATCTCCTTATATATGTAATTGTCTGTGAGACCAGCTTGCTAACCATTGCTTTAAACAAGGCACTTTTCTCTTGTTGGCAATATTAAATTCGGTTCTATGGACAATATTTGTTACCCAGCATAGGGATTGAACTTACATCCTCCTGGTTATAAAATCTAATGCTTTGTTGGATTAACCTGTCTCCCCCTGCTGGGTCAGATGGGTTCAGCCTAAGAAGCTCAATTTACATTAGTTGTTTTTCTCTTAGTGAGAGAAACATTCTCAGTTGTCTGGATAATATCCCTAACATAACTTAACACTGTCTTAGATTTTATAACCAAGAGGATGTAAGTTCAATCCCTATGCTGGGTAACAAACATTGCCCATAGAGCAGAACTTGGGTATTATTTGAAATTATTAATAAATTCCTCTTGACATTTATCTTTAACCCCATGATGCTTGCTGTTGTGAATTCCTCTTTTGATTTCGGGTTCATTATCTTCCATTTTATCTGTAGCTCTTATTTATCAAGGAAGTTTAATCAATGAGGTTCAAGTATCCATTTTTTCTATATCCAATGATAGAATTTCCCAAAAGAAAATTAACCTCTATCACTCTGTAAGTGACTTCATTTGCTATACAAAAAGTTTATCCTGCCATTGAAAGTGACTCTGATCAATAATGTGTTTGAATTTCATAATTGTGTTGTCATATCCTGCTATAGCAACAGAAAACAACTTTGAGGGGAAATTAACAATAAGGATACTACAATTGAGAGGCCTTGAAAGAGAATGCAGTGGAAAGGGAAGTGATGTTAATAATGCAGAGTGTTATTAAAGATTATGTTTAAATTGTCTAGAATTTGTTTTTTTTATTCCTTGTTTTATTACAGGAATATTTATCTGCTTTTTTTTTTTTGTAAATGTTTTTGGAGAGATAAAACACATCCACAAATATTTAGAATCTGCATTCCATGATCAATAGTTGGAACAGAATAAAAATTACTTTGCAAAATCTTTACTAATTAAGATTAACATGGGAACTGAGATTTTAGCATTGGGATTTTTTTTTTTTTTTAAGTAATAGAATTCATGGTAATAATAGTGTCTATGATTTATTATGTCCTACTTAATGAACAGAATTTCCCATTGACCTTCTTTCAGACTAGTTTCTTCATCCCTGTCTCTCTCACACTTTCTCTTTCTGTCTCTCTCTCTCTTCATCCCTCTCTTTTGTTCTCTTTGTCTCTCCTTAATGAAAAAAAAATCTCTCTCTTTTTATGCTCCCGATATCCTCTGGCCAAGAAATGTTAACTGGAACTCTTTATTTGATATTTTCAGTCTCTATCCTTCAGAATTTCTTTCTTTTTAATCCTCTCTCTCCCACTCCACTATGTTGAAACCATCCAATCAATAGACCCAGCAGAAATATAAGTACTTTATAGACTAGTTTCAAAGTGTCTGTTACAGGCGACATAATAAAACACTGCTGGGAGTTAGGAGTTCAATGCAGAGACAGGTTGGCATCACAAGAAAATTATGGTTACAATTTTTTAAATTCTCTAGAAAGGACATGACAAGTAAGGAATGAGAATAAGCATTTTTGCCCTTCATTATCATGGCTGATGCTAACCTCCGAGAGAGCAACTCATGGCACCTTTTTTGGTTTCACATTTTCCACTGACATAAAGTGGAATGATTATATTAAATCAGTTGCTAGCTCTGCTGTTAAGAAAGTTGGTTCAATATGTCATGCCAGACAATTTTTCTTGCCAGAATCCATCTTGCTGCCATATCTGGGCCGATTCCCCTGCTATATATCTCGAGATTCTCAACAAAATCCAAAGAAGGGCCTTTAATGTTATCAGTCTTGATCTGGCATCTTAACTTCAGTCCCTTTCTGTTTGCAACCTAGGAAGCATTACTGAATGAGGAATAACCAAAATGAAGGTTGGAAATGAAATGGTAATCTTTATAACATCAGCAAAATACTGTACTCGTCAGCGTCGTGAAGTCGGTAAACCACTGCTAGTGGTGGACTACTTAGACAGCATATTACCCCCATTTACAATAGTGTCTAACATATTTATGAGGTTTGAGACATACAAATTTGTGTTCAAAAGATGGTATATAACACTTTCCACTGCCATTACATGGCTTCCTTCATAACAATTGTTCTAATGAGCTCTCCTCTTTTGTACTCTGACTATATGAATTTAAACATGCTACTAGATTGGCTGCTAGGTCTCACCATTTTACTGTTGAAACAGTTCTATTCTAATAGTTTCTTTTCTCATACTTCTTGCCTGTGGAATTTGCTTCTAGTTTCTTTCATCCCTGCCTCCTACGATCTTCAAAAATCTCATCTGTGGAATGCTCTTCTGTTTTTTTTTGTTTTTTTTTGTTTACTTCTCTGCCATCTACCTTGCTCAAAAATTTAAATGAAATGTCAGTCGCCATCTTCTGTTTTCCTAAATCATATTCTTTTATTATCCTTTCTCCACACTAAAGTCTTTTTATTCTCTTCTATTCCTAGTAACACCTTGCATCTTAGTGACTTTATTGCCTTGCTTGGGATGAAATAAAAATAATAAAAAAAAAAAAAACTCCAGATCAGATAAAAGGTTTTGCTCATTATAAGAAAGTGATGACAAGACAAATGACCTGAAAGAAACCCTGCAAAATATTAACACCATCTCATTTCAAAATTTCAGATAAAAATGGTTTTGTGCTCCAACTATAATTAAGAAATAGGAACAACTTCTTGCTTACAAGAATTTTGTTCCTATTCCGTTACTGTAAAATTGAGAATTTGAACGCTATATTTTGTGTCATAGTTGTTGAGTGTGCACATTGGTAATTGGACAATTTCATAAATATTTCCTGATTAAGATATAAATGTAGCCAGATTATCCTATAGGCTACAGCCTCGAGCCCCCCTCAAGCTTGGAAATTTTTATAAAACAATGATTTTAATTTTGTAGATGTCATAACTTTTAAATAGTTTCATAAACTGAAATGCTATCAATGACAAACTCATTTATTTTGATTATTTTATTGTTATAATTCTGGTTATAAAAAACATTTTTCTTTATTTTATTTTTTTTACTGCAGTTGTGTTGAAATATGTGCTAATTTGGTTTGCAATAAATATACTTAAAGAATAAATTGTATTGACAAGCAAACAATAACTATTCTAGATTATTTAAAGAAATTGCAATAAGAAATGTCACTAAAAAAAATTCCAGATTGGTGCAGACAAGTTAGTGTGGCTCCAAAAAGGTCATAATCTGGCCCTAGATGTAAACAATATAACTGTCTCTGATAACAACCAGTAATTATTTTTATGAACTGAAATACACAAGATTTTGCTTTTCTGGTTACATAATTAATGTTGAGTCATTAAACACATTTATGTAATAAAACTGTTTATCATAAATGTAACGCATTGCACAGATTTTTTGCTATAAGAAGTGAACTAAAAAGTGATTTGAAAAGCAAAGAGAATTAAAAGGAGGCTGGAATTATTTTCGAAGATGTCTGATTTCTTTTTTTTCTTTCTTGTAGGATGTCAACCTTGATGATGATTTACTAGAGGACTAAAATGGTGAATATAAGAGAAATGAAATGGCAGAAAAATCTGTTCTAAGCCTGACATCTGGTAAATATGTTCAATGCTACCACAACAAGGTGAAAAGATGTGGCAGATAAGCAAGTATTTGACTTGATACACTCACCACTGATTTTGGTAGTAATATTTTCACAAGAGTGACTACAATATATTTTAAAGGACTATTTTAAAATGTGGTCAATCCAAGGTCTGTTTCATATAATGAATATGCCTTCTTTTTTCCCTTTATCTTAAGTTCTTGATTAGGATTTCAGGTAATGAACCTGTATAACAAATTTCAAAAATAAAAAGCAGAAATTTTTTTTTTTTTTACTCAGTGAATCAGTTCATATCGTTACCAAAAGAAATGGAGCAGACTTTTTTTTTTTTCTTTTTAGTGAATTTAAAAAATATTAAAAAAAAAAAAAGGAGGCATATCTGTAATATGAAAAATCAACAAATAATCAGAATGAGGCTGAGGTCCAGTTTTTATCATGTACATAGCTTAAAATTTTGATGAGTGGGAACCAGTACTGGGGGGTGTGAATGGTGTATGGTAGTTGTTATCCCTCACATTTTGTGGTGGGGTGGATGAAAGGTTAAATGCTCAGCCTGTTTTTCTCTTTTCCTTATTTCATACAACTTGCATATTGTTATTAAAAACTTCAACATAAAACAAAACAAAAAAATGTTACTGTATTGTGAAAAGGCACTCATTTTCCAGCCCCACAATGTCTGATATTGTACTTATTCTTCTTATGGATTTTGAAGAAGATTTAGAAACATTAACGACTCCATTGGTTCTATTTTGAGAGATATTGAAAGTACTGAAAAAAAAAAAGCCTTTTTTACAATATGGTGATATTTGAATATAATCCATTTTTGTGGAGAGCTAAACTACCTGTTATCACAGCTATAATAATGTTTGAACATGGACCATTCTTATATGTAATGTTTTCTTTCATCAGATATTAAAAGAAACATTTAATCTTATCTCATGTGTATTGTTTTATTTTTCACTCTTTCTAACAGTGACTGGTCATTTTTTCCCTCAATCCTGTGGAAGAAGAAAAAGTCTCAAAAAATTTTCCATTTAATCTTTTATTTACAAGACAGTCATTTTCTTTCTGATATATCCAGTTCAAAACATCTGGTTGGTTTGAATGCTGTAATTTTATTAAGGATGGAAAAGAAAGAAATAAAAAAATCATTTGGATGTTGGAATGTACATTCTTTTATGTCATTTTTGTTGTCGACCAATTCAAAGTTCAGTAGTCCAATTTTTTTTTCTCCTTCTAGCTAGTTTTACAGTAAAATCTAATATGACTATGAAAAACAGTCTTTTTTTTTTTTTTCATTTTAGAAGTGGTACACTTGAGAAAATCAGGGATTGATTTGACAGTGTTATCTATATTTTGTTTTTATTTACAAATTTCAAGTCTGAAACTCTGCTTAAATCATTGATAACTGTGGACTACTGATGATGTCCTTTTTTTTCTCAAGTCATAAAAACAAAATACAGGAAAGTCAGGGATCGATTTGACTTTGTATTTATATTATGAACAGGACCCCCTCTTCTAAAATGATAGAATTGAAAAATATTGATTTGTTACATTCACTTACACACAAATACCCTTGGGAAAGGTATAAATCCATCATCCCCCTCAGCTATGGCTTAAATAGTAGGACTTGTATCTAGATAAGTTATTGTTAATGTAAAAAAGTCACATGAAAAAAAGAATTTATTCATCAACCTTTTTGTAGGTTATTAAAAACTGAAATATACTTTCAATTATAATTTTTTTTTTTTTTTTTTTTTTTACATGTGAATTCTTACAATTCAAAGTATGTTTCAGCTTTTAATAACCCAGAAAAAGTTGATAAACCATTAATTAAAAACCAAAAAAAAAAAAAAATCACCCAGCCAACCAAACTGTTAATGTTGTAGTTATTGCCCTTGCCTTTTGGTTGTTGTTTCATGCCACCAGGTGGTGGCTTCTATAAAATGCTGACAGCCATAATGAAAATTTTTTTCATTTGTTTAGTTGGGTTTCATTTCCAAGTGTGCAGACAAGGCTATGTCGAAGGGCAGAGTTTCGTCTGAGGAATATGTGGTCTACGGGAAATTTTTGGCTGAGCCTACAGGCTTAGAAACCCCACATTCATTTTGGCCTTGTGCCGCACCTGACCACATGGGGAGGTTAGTGAATATCTTCACTTGTTCAATTGTCAATATTCAGACTAACAGGAGAATTACCTTATTGCAGATGCAATTGATTAATTGAGAATTAACACATCCAACCAATATGGTTATTAATGGTCATAAAATTGATTTTTATTTTATTTTTTTGTATTAATGCTTTATCAACCTTTTGTGGGTTATTTAAAGCAGAAACATACTTTTGGATTCTAAGAATTTTTTTTTTTTTTTTTTTTTTTTTTGGGCAGGGGTGGAATAACAATTTATCCAGATGTCTTGGCTTGAGGAATCTCTAAAGAATGCTAGTTTACAAAAATTATTTCCCAAATAATTTTTTTTATGTGCAAACCAGTCAATTTAAGTCGTGGTCACATTTGCACTAAACGGGAAAAACACTTTACATAGCCCCTTTTTTTCTTTTACCTTTTTTCTACACTTCATCTTTGTTTAATTTCGGGAATGGGTCTCGCGTCTGCATCAATTTATTGAGTTCCTTGATATATTCACAGTCTTCGGAAACTTCATTCTTCTGCAAAACAGAACCAAAGATTTTCATCATCTTCTGAATAAAATCCAATGTTTAACATAAAAAAAAAATTGCTCAAAACTAAGAATCCACCCATTTTCATTAGATTAGAGATTATCATCATCATCATACAAAGTGTCTTGTAATTGCATCTTTTTATCACATTTCCCTTGAGTCTCCCACTTCTAGCAATGATCTTTAAGGAAATGTAATTTTTTTTTTCTCCTCTTAAATAAAGCATCTTTAGTTATTAATTTTTTGACTTATGTTGCTTTTGGTCACATTTCTCATTTTTATAACTCTTAGTATGCAGATTGATTGATAAAACATTAAAAAGAAAAATTGAAGCTGAAACATATATTTTAGATGGATTTTAAGATTTTTTTTTTTGTGAATAACATTGATTTATCCAGATACAAGTCCTACTATTTAAACCATAGCTGAGGCAATGAAATGAGAGTTACATTTATTTTACCTTTCCCAACGCTATACTGGAATTCAAACTTGTCTCTTTAGTTTCTCATTCTGAACTAGTATGCACTATACTACCTGTACATCCACCTGTTAATAGGCAGTGCTTTTTTTGTTTTTATTCTTGATCATGCCCCACCACCATCCTGCTTTGGCATAGTCATTGAATGACAGTCTGACAGTTGTCATAAAAAGCAACTGTAGTTAAGATGAAAGGAATAGTAATTAAAGTGATTCATGATGACAACTCATTAGAAGTGTTTATAGTTTTCTCATTTTCAATATATCTAATCGGATGAAAGGTTTGTGTTCAAAATTCCCTGACGGTTACTAAATGCAACAAATATTTGAGGAAGATTCAAAAGTACAAACACTGACTGAATACAATCAGAAAAAAAAAACATTGTAAGTTTTGGGGAACATTCAAAATTTATAGTACCTAGACTATGAATAAACACAGTACTAAATTGTTGGCAAGGTTTCATTTTACAGTCAAAATGGCTGCTAACAGTTTCTTTTCTCGCTTGTGGAACTCTCTTCCAGCTTCTTGCTTTTTCAGTCATGTTTGATTTTCAAAAATTTAAATGCAATGTCATCTTGATTTCTGTTCTTTTATTGTTCTTCCTACTAAAACACCTGTCATAAAAATTTTACAATATATACTTTTGTAATTTCTTTTTTCTTATAAAAATATATGGCATGAAATGAAAGTGACAAACCCAATAATAAAAATAAACTATATTAGTAGACGCGTCCATCACACATAAAAATTAAGAGTGGCTGCTGTATTCTTCTGATAGGCAAAATCAAAACACTCGCTCACTAAAAATGAGGGAAGGACAAAATAAATTGTGGGGTGGGAAAATCGAAAGCTGAACCAGTCAAGATAAACATCAGGGAATAAAAACACAAAATGGGGAGGTTGAGAAATTTGACATGGATCATAATGAAAAGGAATGCCAGGAATAACAATTACTCGTACTAACTAGGTAAACAAAGATTCTAGGGGAGGGGCTGAACAGGAAACTGCCCCGTTGTGTCAAAAGGGGGTACTAAAAAAGAAAATCAAGGCTGGCCCCATTCACACAAACCAGTATGCACATTTCATTGAAATCTGCTGATAGCAAACGCATTTTATCAGTTTTGATTTTGAGCTGATGATCAAAAAATCCAGCCAGATACTGATAAATTTCACCAGAGACCATGATAGTGAAACCAAAAACTAGCCTATTTTATTGGCTAGGAAGAAATCCCAGCATGCATTTGTGTGCTTTCTGTCTATAAATTGGGGAGAAGAAAATATTTTGCAATCATTTCCCATCAGGATTGGAACCAACATGAAAAAAAAACAAAACATCATTGGATGAAGAAAAATAATGAAAATAGGCAGAATTCATTTTACACAGGGCCCAAGGATAAAACTGACCCCAAAGCATTTTTACCCTAGACCTAATAGAACTAAAAGCATCGTCCTGAGGTTAACTGTTCAAACAAGTGTCACCCAGGGTGTCTTTCATTGTCTTCTGCTCTGCCGCAACAAGTCTTACCTTCAATTTTAGTTTCAAGAGGCCTGGAAAGAAATTGTACGCTTGATCTTGACTAAGTTCCACTTGATATTGCATTGCATTCAGAAAATATTTCATCCCAACAGAAGTGATCTGGTTACCTTAAAAACAAAAAAAAAACACAAACAGCTAATTCAGCTCAATCAATGAATTGGGTTGTATTTAAGATCTGAGTGAAAATTGAAATGACAGTAAATTAACAACACAGAGGCATCTGCCTATATTTCTGAGATGACGTATTGTAATTATTTACATTGTTTGGACTGTTGCCCTCATCTTTATTGTCATATTTACAACATTGTACGCTCCAGCCTTCTTCAATTGATGCTAGGCCACAAAAATCTCCTCAGCCAGTCAAGCATAAAAATGAATACAATATGGGAACCAGTAATAAAGAGTGCTAGAGAAAAGCAATAATAACAGCAAAATTGCAATATGAAAAAATGGTTAAAAAAATGGTTAATGTTAAGTTAGGTTTATAAGTCCCAAAAATTCATACACTGATGTCCTCAAGAATATGTGGCCCAGTGGATAAAAGCATTGATTGGATCTAGTGACTTGGCCCAAAGAGTTGTGAGTTTTGGCTACTGCAGTGGTGAACAAAATCTTGGAGAGTTATAACGGAGACATCCGGAAGAGACATGGAACTAGAACAATCTACCCCAGTGAATGAAATAAAGGGTTCAGTTTGACATTCCAATCACCTGAAGAAGGTTGGAGTGAATATAACAATAAAGATGAGGACAACAGTCTGAACAATATAAATAATACAAAATCAAACTAGAGGCCAAATCGTCTAAAAATTGAATGTTGCATGCCTTGCAAAAACTAATTTACAAGCTCACTTCAAGTCAAATGGACTTTCTCTTCCTGAAAGGTTTTATTGTATACAGGGTGATTGAAAAATAACTCCATATTTTATGTATGATGGACTCTCCCATCTAACTATAATTTTTTACAAGATGGGAGAGTCCATCCTACATAAAATAGGGAGTTACTTTTCAATCACCCTGTATTCAGTAATAACAACAAAATTAACCCTTTACTGCATAAAATTTCTTTAAATTTAAACTCTTTGCTTAATCTACCTTGCTGGCTAAAGGTAATCTTAAGCTGGAGGATTTTAATTTTTAAGTACCCCACCCCCATTCTCTAAAAAATTGGATATCATGTATTAAGGGGCTAAGTAGTTTCAGTATCATAGCTTAGTAGGTGTAAATTAAACCAAACTTACTATTAGATTCAGAGGGTGGTCCCTTAAACTATAATGTAGGTTTAAAACAAATACAGATGTTTAGAATAGATTCCTAAACATGTATAAGACTAAAAGACTTAAGAAATAGCATTACTACTAATGCTGAATAACTAATGTCATGAGAAGGAGTTTTCTCAAAATTTTAGAAGGTAAACATAGAATAGATTGGCTGAAATGTAACAGCAAAAACGGCACAAGGAAGGTGTTTTCTGAACAACACTTGAAGTGGGAAGTATTTTTACCCAATTTCCTTCCATAAACTGAATGAGGAAAACTCACGAGATAGATCCAATAATTTCAGCATCCTGTTTCCAGGAATCCACAGTTGTTTGTCAACTTCATTGTATTCTGCCTGTTCCAAAAGTGGGAAAACAGGTTCTGTTGGACTTTGGATCTGGAAGGATAAAAAATAAAACAGATAAAAGACAACAAAGAAATAGAATTAACCATATAGAGTAAGATCTTTCACAAATCTCGACTGTAGAAAGTATTTTAATTATTTTGGAAAATATCTGTTTAAATAATTTACTATAGAAATGAACAGTAAACTATTTATTATTTTTATTCCCTCTTCTTCGTCATACAATCTGTGCCAAGATAAAAGGTTATTTCTTCTCACTCTTTCATTTGCAGTTTTACAGGTTTTGATTAGAAACAAAACTATTACTATTATTATTAAATCTGGAATGGTTAGCAGCTAAGAACAAGAAATTGCCAAGCTGTCTTCATCATATACACTTTCATGCAAATTCCCTTTCCTTCCAGTTATGGCTGACTGGGCTCTACAGCTTTGATTGGCAATTGGTCTAGAGGGACAACTCTAAATTCAAAACCTAGGTACAGGTCTAACAACTCCATCCCATAAAAAAATACTTAATATGAAGACCACTGCATAAACACTTAGCATTTTGAGGACTGTAACCTCATACTTCCCAGCGGAGTTGACTGGATTTGATCTTGTCTTCATTTCTCCTGCTTTTTATTGCAATTTCTAGATCATCATCCTATTATGATCAGAAGTAAAGAATAAGTCATGAGAGTTACTATCGAAAGCTACAGAAAATTAAAGAAATTCCAGTTAAAATTCAATAATTAACAATGCTTCATCAAAGAGATTTGAATACTATTAAACTGCATCTAGAGATTATATGCAAAAGAGGTATTGTCAAATATTTTATGTAAAATTCATAGATATGTGTTATCCAATGAAATAATTTGTACTATTATGTATAGCGAGTAAGCATGAAAGCAATTAAGTCCCAATTTTCAATTTCAGATATTTAGTATTTTTTCAGTAATTATAGCAATTTGCAGTGTCAAGAGATTAGTTGCAAGAACTAGAATTTAGTATTATGGTTCATAAAGAAGAACTAACAATGAATGAAAAGAACTATATAATCAAAGAAATTAGCAAAGGAAAGTCTTCGCTTCAAATTCCTAAGGATTTGAAAAGGGATCATCGAACAATCAAGAAAATATGTCAAACCAAGGAAAAAAAGTCTCAAGCTGAATTCAGGAATTTTACAAAGCAAGATCTATCACATATCCAAAGAGACTTAATAAGAAACCCAAATGTGTCAAGTGCGTTCATATTTGACGCCGCTGGAGCTCCTATGGTGTTAAGGGAAACAAGGTGTAAAGCATTAAGGAAGTTTGCTGATGTAAAAAATCAAATAAAGAAACCCATTTTAACAAAAAAACATGAGGAAAGAAGATTGCAGTGGGCAAAAAAAATACATGAAAACTGATTTCAGTAAAGTGCTTTTTACAGACGAATCAAGGATCACCCTCGGGCCTGATGGATGGGCTCGAGGATGGGTTTGCAAGCAACATGAACCAAGAAAAATTTTTAAACGCCAACAAGGCAGCGGTGGGATCATAATATGGGCTGGGATTATTGGTAATGAGCTTGTGGTTCCATTTAAACTGAAAGACGGGGTTAAGATGAATTCCAAAAGTTACTGTGATTTTCTAGAGCAATATTTCTTTGAATGGCTTGATAACCAGTCTTTAGCCAAGCGTAGATCTACGCACCAAGTCATGCATCAAAGTTTACTAAATCCTGGTTGAAAGAAAAGGGATTTGTTGAAGATTCTCTTATGGACTGGCCTTCAAATAGCTGTGACTTGAATCCCATTGAGAACCTGTGGCGCATGCTCAAGAGAGATATTTATTCTAATGGAAGGCAATTCAATAGAAAGTGTGACCTCTGGGAGGCAGTTAAAGTTGCTGCAAACAACTTACCAGCCACTAAAATTGCAAAGCTAACATCAGATGTTGACAATAGGCTGCTAAGAGTTATGGAAAAGGAAGGAGCATTTGTGCAATAAATTTTAGGAGGTTCTTATTATTTTTTGTTAATATATCTTTTATTTTTAAAATAAAATGTTTTTTATGTTTTTTCCTTTAAGAAATTGCGGAATTTGTTCTAAAATCTTTTCATATTATTTTTTTACATTAGTTTTATAAAGTATAATAATGTAAAAGTATCAAAATAAATAGTTGCAAATAAACTACTGACAGTCAAGTTAGTCTGTTTTGTTAACTTACTAAAATTTCTTCCAACCAAAAACAATAGTTTTCTCTGTCACTATATATCTAAATTAATTAATATTGAGTAGAATCTGAACAATATCATAATAGGACTTTTAACATTAAAGACGCAACTCTTTATACCAATTCATAACTTGCATATAATCTCTAGACGCAGTTTACATCTATTGTTTCCCACCACAAAGAAAGAAAGATGGAAAAGGAGAAAAAAATATTAAGAATACATACCTCAACCTCCCCTGGAGTTTTTGCAACACCTTTGCCAGCCAACATATCTATCAAGCAATAGATAATAAAACAATAAGAGTTTTCAATTCTTTTATATTTTATTGTTATTTTATTACTTTATATTTTATTATATTCTATTTTATTATATATTATATTATAGATATTTATTGAGCAATAAAACAACAAGAGTTTTCAATTCTTTTATATTATGTTAAAATAGAAAAGAGAAAAAAAAGGAAATTTTCAAATTTGTTATAATAGTGTTATACTGCCATCACAGCTGAAAGAGAGTGGACATTCTTTTGGTGTTCAATAAATAGTACTCCAAAAGCCATAGAAGAAATAAAAATGAACTTGCAAAAGAAAGAAGTCCCACAGAAAAAAAAGAAACCCCGTCAGCTGAGAGAATTGGAAAAGCTCCTGGTTGGAAGCAAGAAAATGCAAGGGATTAGATTGATTGATTCATTCATTTTCTACATCTTATCAACCCTTTTGCAGGTTATTTAAAGCCAGAAAATATTTTTAGATAGAATTTTTTTGGTGAAAATAATAAGGATTTAGAGAAACAAGCCTTACTAATTAACCCATAGCTAGTGGGGGAGAAGACATGGAGTCATGCCTTTCCTAAGGGTACCTGCAGCGTAAATGAACATAATAAACCCAACAGGAATTTTTTAAATTCTAAGAATTTTATTTTGGAAATAATAATAGTTTAGTGATACAAGTCTTACTAATTAACCCATATCAGGGGGTAGAAGAGGTTTTTTTCCAAGGGTACTTGCAGCAATAAATGAATATAGCAAACCCAACAGGTATTGGAACTTGGCTCTCTGATTAACAATTCTGAGCCATTACCTTTTACACCACCTGCACATCCAAGCTTACAGTACCTGGTATTCCCAAGTGGTCAGCCAGGAACCAGAGTTTCAATGTGATATGGCCATTAGATAAAGATTGTGGACAACTGAAAGCCAAATGTTGAGGTCAATGGACAGTGAGAGTTAAGCTCCAGACAGTCAAACTGGGCACTGCTGGATAAGTTCTATGCAGACACAAACAAATTAAGCACAGAAAGGTTTGCAGAGAAACGGTTATCCAATGAGCAGGGACTAAAGTGCCTGTTTCTCCTGAAAATGAACTAAAAGCTTTAGCATGAATCTTGGTTTTTTTTTATAATGAGGTTCATTCTGTACAAGGCCTGGGAGCCACTTGAAGTAGAGGGTTACAGAGTAAGAGGCACAATTTATACGGATATGTGGGGAAGATAATGGTTAACCCTAGACTTTAACAGAGTAAGATTGTAGTGATCGGGAGAGCAGAGGTTTGCTGGTAAAAGCTGCTCAAGTGGAACCTACTTCTCACCAATGGAGTACAAAGTGAATGAGGGTGGTACACTACAAAGTGTGTGGCAGGGCGGGTCCTAGCCGTGAAGGTTAGAACTAGTGGAATTTAGGAATGAAGTTCATTTGAGGATTTTCCATAGAAGTAGAGATAGAAGCAGTGAGAGGCTTGCAACATCTTGTCGGTGAGGTTACAGGGTGGATAATAATTTGTCACCCACAAGGGCTCGATCAAGACTGGCAATAGTAGTCCAGGCCTGATCTGACTCTTGTAAATGTAGAGGATAGCATGATAAGTTGTGTTCTTACTGGAGCAGTACAGGGAACTGATCAGTTTTCCAGCATCTTTAGTGAAGGATCATATGTACAAGTTCCACTTGTGGTCTGGTTTGAGTTTAAGGCCCAATTTCTGCTGACCTCACGAAAAGGAGCCCTTGGCCACCTCTTTGTTTACCACAACATTTATGTGTGTCTCACATCTGTTTACATTTTTCTGATTTTATTTTTAATTTTCTTGTTTGATTTTTTTTTTAAAAAAGTAAAGAGTTGTTATGTAATATCAGTCCTCCTCTATGGCAGTGAATGCTGGACAATCTCACAGACAAAAAAGAGACAGGAAGCAACAGAAATGTAGTTCTACAGAAGGATACTGAGAATAACCTTGAACTGAACACATGAGCAACAACAAAGTTTTAGAGAAAATAGACACTTTTATATTTAGACTCAGAAACAAGCAGTTGAAATTTCTAGGGTACATAAGACTTGGGAAATTAGACACTCATAGGACATATTGAAGACTAGACAGACGGAACGAAGCAGCAGAAAATCTAACCTAACGAACTTGTGTCAATAATTGACAGAACAGGGGCAGGAGATATAGCAAAAACACAAACTTTAAGAAGGGCTATAAAGGTCAGAAAATTGTGGAGAAATTAAACTATAGCCTAGTGGATAAAAGTGTTGGTTTGTGAATTTATTGACATGCTGATTGTGAGTTCAATCCCTGGGTTGGGTCTGGCAGTGTGTATTTGCACTCAGATGAAACGGTTGACCAATAACTGAACAGTACTAAATAAAAAATAAAAACTAAGAGATATCCCTAGACATGAGCAGTGGAACAAGAACAGTCTACCCTTGGAAATTAAATAAAAGGTTCAATTCAGAATTCCCTGTAGGAAGGCCAGGGGGTACAATAGCCGAAAAGATGAGGACACTAGTTTTTACTATAAATAGCATATATATATATATATATATATACACATACATACACACACACACGCATTTTTTCCTCGCCAATAGCACAACTCTGTGTTTCATGCACAATGCAATCTTCAGGTGCTGATCAAAAACTGATGCACCTGATGATTGTGTTGTGCTACTGGTGAGGGAAAAAGTGTATATTTATTATTAAAATATGGCAGGTCGTAGCCATGAATTTAAATTAAAGCCTAATGCAATGTAATATTTATCATTTAACAATTTAAAAAGAGATAAATATTGTAATGTAGCAACAACTCTAAGTAGAATCTTATGAAGCTTTATTTGACAAAAGATATTTCATTTTGGATAAATACAAAAAATATGGCACAAAGCCAAAAGTGGAGATGGGGAAGGCTTGTCATCATCTGTCTTAAATTATAGCTCTGTTATTCTAAAACAAGCACAATTTATTAGCACCAGTACTGAATGTGTAATATATGTGCATGTATGTATATATGTATGTAAAGTGCTTCCAGTGAATTTCATATTCAGCCTTATGAGAAAAAATTAAAGTTGTCTTTACTCACTTTTCATGATTTTACGATCAGTTTCCTTTGGCCCTGGCAAAAAGAGAGATAAAACAAGATAAAAAAAGAAAGAATGAAAGAAAGAAAGAATGAAAGAAAGAAAGAAAGAAAGAAAGAATGAAAGAAAGAAAGAAAGAAAGAATGAAAGAAAGAAAGAAAGAATGAAAGAAAGAAAGAATGAATGAAAGAAAGAAAGAATGAATGAAAGAAAGAAAGAATGAATGAAAGAAAGAATGAATGAAAGAAAGAAAGAAAGAAAGAATGAATGAATGAATGAATGAAAGAAAGAAAGAAAGAAAGAATGAATGAATGAAAGAATGAATGAATGAATGAAAGAAAGAATGAAAGAATGATAAAGGGAGAGAAATGCATGCCTACAATAAATTTGTTTAATGTTGCTACAAAACCACAAATATTATCACCTTGTTTTGGGCTGTTTCTTACCATGAACAGTGTGTATAATGTGGGTATGTGTGCACATGTACAGTAGAATTTACAGCCAATGGATAAGATAATTTATTTTTCGTTGTGATACTTCCCAGTTACCAGCTTTTAAATATTTCGTAACCATCAAGCTTGGGCCTTGTTGCACACAAAAAAAATGGAATGTCTTAAGAATAGTGTTTCCATTGTCACCACTATTATTCTAACTACCTTCACTCCTCAGCAATGTTTATTATTTTATAAAGTGATGATTAGAATTGTAATAAAACTTAAATATATTATGAAAGTGAATTAATACATTTTTTCTTGAGAATTTACAACAAAGTTATTAAACATTATTAGATTGTTTATTTACAAGAATAATTTTATATTTACAACATTCTAAAAACTAATTAGAACTAATGTAATGCAATATTTATCATTTACCAATTTTAAAAAGAGATAAATATTGTAATATAGTAACAACTCGAAGTAGAATCTTATGAATCTTTATTTGAATAAAGATATTTATTTTTGGATAAATACAAAAAAACGTGTCAAAAGCAGGGATGTGGAAGGCTGATCATCATCTGTCTTATCTTAAACCCAAACAAACCATACAATATTCCTTGCACCAAAAGACTACATTCTTACGACAACCACCAAAATACTTTAAAGTCTCCATGAAGTCCTAACTAGCCTCCAGATGTACAATGTGTCTGTAGGTGATGCGGAATAGAATAACATTTAAAAAACGAAAATCCAAGTGAATATTTACAATATTCATAATACTATATATACAAGAAACTAAACAAAATGCTGTCACTGATAACCCCCCAACCAATCCTTAATTATGCCAGAAATATCAGTTAACTGGGGGAAATTAATGCAGGACTTGGATGAATTAAATACCAATCATTCGACCAACCACACACACTCCCTACACACTCATTAAGGTACAACAATTATGAAAGGATATACTCAAAAAATGAAAAATGAAATGTCCTGCATTCACCAGAGAACTGACATTTCTGGTCACCTAACATTGGAGGAGATGGGAAACTGAACCAAAGAAAGTAGGAACAAAAATAAAACGGGCCAATGAGCATACACCCCCAAGCTAAGTTAACATGGCATAATAAACAAAACAAGCCTAAACTTACCTAGTTTGGGTGGGGTTGCCAATGTTTAATACAGAGCTCCCAATATTCCGATGCCTAAGCAGCATCAAAATTCCACTCAGTCGGCTCTTTTCAGTCAACAGATATGCACAAGACTCATCCATCTTTTGCTGAATTCTGATGGAGGGAATCATTGCTTTTCCAACCCGGATCATAGTCTTAAGCAGATGCTTAAAGAACAAGATCATTAGAGGTAAACTTCTAGTCTCCATAGAATTCCTTCTGTCATATCATCCATATCATGACTCACATAACACCTAATAAGCACAAGAACACGTTAGTCAACGACATTACCACATTGCTTACAAATAGAACTGGCCTCAAGGACAAAGAAGTTTCCACACAGCATGTGAACCATGATGTCTTCAATAAATTTGCACAATGAGTTAATAATGAAAATAGAGATTTCTTTTTACTTTTTCCCTAATTCACATTTTAACACATTTTAAAATATATTTTAAAACAGAAAATGTTTTAAGCACTTCTAAGAGAAAATAATGAAAATGACGTTTTTGTCGTTTTTTTTGCTTTTTGTTTTTACTAATGTTCACCCAATACAAGTCCCAAGAGCCAATCAAGGTAGAGAGTTACTGTATGATGTTGTATAAGCATAAAAGAAAGCCTGATAAAAATTTAGTATCACCAACTCTTTGAAACCTTATAGTTAAAGAAGGGTATCCACTGAGGAACCACAGCAGATGTAGTTGGTAGAATATTCCAAGTCTGCTTAAGTAAGTCTTTTGCCAACCTAGAGAGCCTCTCACATCACCAGCCAGCTGAGTGATGCTTCATCGTTAGTGAGGCATTTCAACCCAGGTTCCCAAGACCATATGAAGCAGGCATCCTGCAAATTTTTTGTGACATACCTCATATATGTAGAGAGAGAGAGAGAGAGAGAGATGAATGATTACAAATGTAACAACAAAATAACAGAATGAAAAAGAAATATGATTCACCTTTCTTGGTACCTCCTGTGCCACCACCTCCTCCACCGCCACTGCCACCTGTGCCAGCACCGCCACCTCCACCACTTTTGTCATCACGATCCTTCTTGCCTTTACTCAGTTTTTCTTCATCCCTACCAGTGCCTTCTTTCCCAGTCTTTGCTTCCTGGCAATAGGGAAAGAAAAAATATATAATTCAGTATTTTTTCATTTTTATTTAAATAAAAATAAATATTTACAATATGAGATCCATTAAAAAAAAAAAATAGTTATCAAAAACACACACATGCATTTAAAACCTTATCTTTGAAATAAAAGGTCTGTATGATTTCAGTAGAGCAAAGATAATCATCAAAAGATATCCTGTGTATAGCATTATGTAAGCTTCATGAAGTTATCTTTGAAATAAAGGTCTGTTAAGATTTCAGAAGGGCATGGAAAAGAATACCTGCTCGGCCCGGTGGCTAGGATCAAAGTGTAGTATCTGCGCTTTGTGAGCTGCCGAGCTGGGTGTCTGTCGAACTCTCTGCTTGCAGAGGAGAACCCGGACGAAGCTCCGCCAAGGGTGGGGTTTCGCTTCGGGGAGGTTGACGGAACTAGCCCGCTTTGGACGGGTTTAGATGGGTTTTATTTTTGGCTGGGCCTACGGGCTCGGACATACCCACATTAAAAAGGCCTTTTGTGCCACATTCAATTCCTGTGGGTGAATTGATAAATACCATCATAATCAAAAGATACCCTATATAGCGTATTAACAAAGCTTCAGCTTTGGACTAAATTTCTCTAAGCTTTCAGAAGAGCAAGGGTCATCATCTAAAAATGCAAATAAGCATCAAGCTCATTGAAAAACAAAAAAAAAATACTCTCTAATAATAAGTGTGTACAAAAGTTCCCACTTTTTTTTTTTTAAATTAGTAATTCAATAAAGTGTAGAAATCTTTTTTTTTATAATAAAAAATGCTGGTAGACTTTTACGCACATCATATACATATATATATGCAAGTCCCAATTCTGTGAAAAAATCCTTTAAAATGGTCAGCGGTGTTAATTAAACCTACAATCAAAATGTTGTGAGATAATTTTAGAAATATTATAAAAACTACCAAGAAACATTTTTACAATACTGTGTAAATTGAGCTGATTTAATATTCAAACAGAAAAACAATTTTCTTTTACAATAAAATAAATATTGAAAAGTGAAGATAAATAAAACAGAAAAATTTAAAAAAAAAAAAAAAAAAAAAAAAAACTCTCTTCAATGACTTCTTTCCCCTGAAATGGTAATCAATCTTTGGTTCATCTTATATTATGGCTATAACTTTTTAACAATTTAACCGTATTTTTTAATGGAAACAAATATAAAAAAAAAAACAGCATTTTACTGAGTGTTGTAACTACAGCAAAGAAACTTTCAAAGATACTGTGATAGTAAATTTTTATCAGGCTTTCTTTTATGCTCATACAACATCATACAGTAACTCTCTACCTTGAGTGGCTCTTGGGACTTGTATTGGGTGAACATTAGTAAAAACATAAAAATGAAGAAAACACCATTTTCCTTATTTTCTCTTAGACGTGCTTAAAACATTTTCTGTTTTAAAATATATTTTAAAATGTGTTAAAAATGTGAATTAGGAAAAAAGCAAAAAGAAATCTATTTTCATTATTTTTCTCTTACAAGTGCTTAAAACACATAAGAAAAGGCAAGAAGTGCAGTTTATTAGGCTATGTCAGAAAAATAATGGTTAACTCGAAACTTGAAGAGGTTAAGATAGTAGTAATGATGGAAAACACTCTCTTGAGAGTTCCACAGGAGGTGGATTTAAACCTTTCTCAAGGCACCTAATCGAATATAACAAACCCAACATGAATTGAACTCGGCTCTCTAATTAACAATTCCAAGCTGTTATCCATTACACCACCAGCACCTGGTATTTCCAAGTAGTCACCCATCTAAGTACTGATCAGGCATGATGTTGCTTAACTTTGGTGATTGTATGGAAACTTGTATTTCAATGTGATGTGGCTGTAAGCCTGCTTAAACAGGAGACACCTTGCTCCCAAGGAAGGAATATAAAATCTAAAAAGGTAGGAATTTTAGTCAAAAATATAATAATGAAAAAAACAATGCAATGACAATTCAGAAACAAGGGAAAAATTGAGGAAAATTGGTATCGTCAACAAAGGAATGGAATCTTGGATTGATTTGTTTTTATAGTTTATCAACCCTTTGTATAATATTTAAAGCTGAAATATATATTTTGGACTGTAAGACTAATTCTGTTTTTTTGCAAGTGAATATTGTATTAACAATTTTTTTAGAGATAATGATTTTCAGATACAAGTCTATTTAACCCATGGATGGGGGGAGAAGTGGTAGATTCATACCTTTCCCAAGGATATTTGCATATAAGCAAATGTAACAAACCTAAATGGAATTTAAACTTGGTTCTTTAATTTCTAATTCTGAGTTGTTTCCATTACAGCACCTGATATTCCCAAGTGCTTACCCATCTAGATAATGTCTGGGCTTGATGTAGCTTAAGTTTGGTGATCATACGGAATCAATGTTTCAATGTGATATTGCCATTAAGTCTGTACTTTTGGACTCTGAGAAGCACTGTGTTGGAACCTACCTGATTAGGATCTTGGTCTTGTAAAGCCATTGCGAGGGAGTCAGTTCTTTACTGGATGCTGCATGAATTTTGCCTTACATCAAAAGTAATAATCCAACAAATATCAAGTTAAACAGTGACTGTAAGGCTGTTAATGCATCAAAATTGTAATTGGAGATGAACCAAAAATTGACCCTGTTTATTTTTTGTTTTTTTGTTTTTTTTTTAAATATGAAAGTGACAAACCAAAAGTAAAAAATAAACAAACTAAAGCATACCCCAAAACATAAAGACAATACCCAAAAGTTTCTTTACATATGTTACTATGCTTGAGACTTTTATATTTCCAATCTTAACAAAACAGAAAAGGGACTAAAAATGCAGTCTTTATCGATGTAGATTCTATATTTTATGTCTTGTTTTGTGTCTATGCTTGTCATATAGTTTCAGAATCATCTTGATTTTTGGCTCATGTATCACTGCATTAGAGTGGCTGGATATAAATTTTATTTTCTTTGACATGTTAGGTGAGTCTTTGATTTCTACTGGTACCATATAACCCAAAGCTACCTGTGGCATGGTCATGTCATTAATAACTAAACCAGATCCAGGCTTTTCTGGTGAGGAGAGTGGCTAAATGTGCTGCAGGATTAGAATTAGGATTAGAAACAAGACCTGTCAAAGGGCAGCTGAACCGTCTTATAGACGCCAAAGCCATCTGGCACATCAAGGTAGACTGGGTTCCATAACAATATGCACATCTAGTGCAGTGATGAAACCTGAAATCCTCTTGGGAGGGGAATTTCCACCTGGTTAAGAATGCCTGCTCTATATAAACAAATTATACTCTTCCATTTTGCCAAGATTAGAAATGGTAAAAATCTCAATCATCATTGCAAGAAAACTGACTGAACTGAAAGAAACTTTTGAATCTTAATAATTTCATATCTTCAACAATAGAGGGATATAAAAAAAACTATTCTTTTAGTTGAAAATTCTGTGTACCAAAGGAAAAAGAACCAAAAACAAAATGTGATACACACCACATGTGATGCCAAAACCTATACACAAGTGAGTCTACATTAGTGACGCATGCATTTTTGCTAACTTTATCCTTGAGGCTAAATCACTCGAACAAGCACACCAACTCACCTTCTCCTTCTGATTGCGCGCCCCTAGCAGAGCATATTTTAAGGATATCTCCAGCTAGAAATTGTAAAGAGTTAGGGAAAGAAAGACCTTGCAAAAATATCTATAGGTGTTTATATATTACTGTCTGATGAATTGGGACCAAATATAGAATAAGAATCCAACAGAATGATAGGATGTGGAACAAATATGAAACGTTTATAAATATAACATGTTTGACTTTTATTTAAGCTTCATCAGAAAATAAGATACACAAGAACACTGCCAAACAAGACAATTTTTAATTGATTTTTGTTTTTAATTTCTGAACAGGGGTTCAGCACATTGCAGCCGTGTTCAGAATTGATATTGTTAAGGGTTGGATTCTTTTTTATTGTTAATGCTTCCATTATTTTTTACCATTTTTTGCATGTGGATAGGGATAATATAGTTTTAAGGTATGCTGAATTTATTTATGGATGAAAATATCAGGGATGGAGCATATGTAAATATAAAAGTGGACAGTGAAGTCAACACACATGCTAAACGGAAACATCAGGCCATATATATATATATATATATATATATATATATATATATATACACATACAGTTAAAAAATCTTCCTTGATAATGGCTAATAGATTAGCTGAAAACTATTGAATCCATAAAACATTTAGAAAGTTTTCATACACTTTATATCCAGAAAAGAAAATACTTGTACAAAGTAAAAATTTAATAAAAAGCTTAATCACAGTCCCTTATTAGTCATCTTCAATGAAATATATATATATATATATATATATATATATATATAATAAATTTAAACATTATTTTTAGTTGATAGCCATATTTTAGTAGATGCTACATTTATTTTAAACAGTATTTTGGCTATCAGCCTGAACATTGCAGAAATCTTATTAAAGATAAGGTTTAATATCAAGGATTATCAAATATTTAGACTTGTTTTTATATGTATATATAGCAATGGTAATGTTTTTAATTTCTGAACAGGGTCAGCCTGTTGTAGCTGTGTTCATAATTGATATTATTAAGGGTTGGATTCTTCTTTTTTTATTGTTAACACTTTCATTATTTTTAACAGTTTGACATATTCAGTTAAAAAAAAAAGAAAAAGATCCTTGATAATGGTTAATAGTTTAGCTGAAAACACTTGGATCCATAGAATATTTGGACAGTTTTTACAGTCTTTGTCTAGAAAAGCAACCACTTGTACAGATGCAATAAAAATATAATAAAAAGCTTAATTGCAGTGCTTTGTCAGTCATTTTCAATAAAACGTGTGTGTGTGTGCATATATATATATATATGCCTGTCTAAAACGTTTATAAATATAACAAGTTTTGCTTTTATATAAGTTTCATCAGAAAATAAGATACACATGAACACTGCCAAACATGACAATTTTGAATTAATGTTTTAATTTTTGAACAGGGTCAGCAGATTGTGGCCATGTTCATAATTGATATTGTTAAAGAATTGGTGTTTTCTTTTTTTATTGTTAATGCTTCCATTATTTTTAATGGTTTTACATCTTCAGTTAAACAAAAAAGATCCTTGATAATGGCTAATAAATTAGCTGAAAATGTCCAGAAAAAGAAATTGCTTGTATGAATGCAAGAAAAGTTAAACTTAATCACAGTGTCTTGTCAGTCGTCTTCAATGAAACTGTGTGTGTAAAGAGAGCAATGGTTAAGGAATGAGTGTTGTTACGAGGATGCATTTCTATAAGGGATTCCACTGAGTTCTACTTGTTATTACAAAAAAGTTTTCATTCATGAAGTAGTTGTAAAATAGAGAAATTAGAAATAGAATGTTTGGAAGATTCTAGATCATTCTAGTATATTCAAGAAAAATCTAGATGATTCGAGAAACATCTAGAAATATGCAAATTAGGTGTTAGCCCCTATAAAAATGGGATTTTGGAAAAGGGTTGTCAGTTGATGAATGGAAATTTCTGCTGTTATCAACTCCGGCTTTTGATTCAAGGACTATTATATCCAGCCGAAAGAATCTCTATAAAAAGTTGCCGACCAACCAAAACCCAAAAGAGAATTTCATGGAACAGATTTGGTAAATAGAATTTTGACTAATTTTCATTGACCAAACTAAAAATTAATATTTATTTACACACCTTTGTGGATTTCCAAATATAGCACTTAGATTACTTCACTAGCCCTAAAGTGATAAAGATATATGATTCCCTTTCCTTCTTCCTCGTAACACTCCGCCAGTAACTCTATGTTTTCTGTTTTGTAGGCCACAATTGTTTATCCTGTATATATTTTATGTTCTGTTTTAGTAAATTAAATATTTGTTTGTGATTTAGCTCTGTGTTGTGGTAAATCATTTTTTTTTTCCTTTGTTACAATTATCAACACGTAACAGTGTAAAGTGAAAAAAATGACAAAAAGGACAAATAACCACAACATTCTATACATATGCACATCTGTGCAAACGGAAGCATGAACAAGAAATAAAGAAAACTTGCACCAATGTAAAGTGCATTTAAAATTGAGAAGTATAATCAGTCAACTGCTGATAACCCCCTGGATTCTAAGAGGGCCCATCTACAAAACCCTGGAATCAGGATACTGAAGGTAACATCAATCAGCTAATGGACAAATCTTTTGTATTAATTATATATATATATATATATATATATATATATATATATATTCACACACACCACAGTTCAAAAGTTTAAAACCAACCCCCAAAATTAGCATGGGATGAATTTGATAGAACAGTGAAACCTTTCCATCACAAAAATGAAAAAGAGCTTTTAGAGTCATTGAAAAAAAGAATAGAATCAATTATCAAACTTATACTTTGAGAAACTTTTGCAATGAAAGCCTAAAATTAGTGCTGCAGTAATTGAGGCTAAAGGAGGATATTTTGACAAGAGGAAAATTTAATCATAAAATACATTTTTTTCTTTTTGTCATAATTTCTAATAAAAAATCATGCCTCACTTTTTTTAGCCATATGTAATAATTCTCTCTTATTTAAAGTACCAAGCAACTACTTTTGGGGCCAATTTTTCCCTCAAACTTTTGAACTGTAGTGTGAGTATGCATGTGTATGTGTGTATATATATATATATATATATATATATATATATATATATATACACACATCTCCAAATGAAAGACTAAAATTAAGTTATAGTTGTACATATAATCTAGAAAAAATTATAAAAAAACATAATAAAATTTTAAATATTTAAACCTAAATAAAAATAAGAGCAATTCCAAAACAAAATC